TGGTGCTGCAATCTGCCAGCCCTTCTCCTTTCCTCACCCACCGCCTGCTGCTCTCCCCAGGGTGCTGCTGGAGAGAAGGGGAAAAGAAAGGCCCCATCTCAAAGGGGGGGGGGCGGAAGCGGTCTACTGATGGCCTTCGTGACAAAGAGTGCTACACCAGAGCTAAGCAGTACTATTAAAGAAAGGCAAGGTGGGGCTCTGCCCATTGGCCAGTCAATACCAGCAGCCAGAGCGGCCTGCGGCACCTCTTGCTGGTCCAGCTGTGGGACCCCCAGCAGCCGATACATCAGGCCCTGCAGTGGGCTCACAAAGGAGACAAATTGGGACTTGGATGAGCGAAAAAAACTGGTTTTCAATGGTGACCTAAGGCCGGGGTTCAAATCCCCCACCCCAATGGCCCAGCTAGGCCCTCGCTCAGGCAGAGCTTACTGATCAGTATTAAAAATAGAGTGTAACAGCGTACAACAGAGTACTGATTACTTCAGGTAAGAGATGTATCTTAACACAAGTGCTGTTTGCAGGCAGCTGCAGATAGCACTAGTCTGAGTGTAAAAATCAATTAATACAGACTCAGGCCTGCGCTCACCTCCTACAAAGTCCCAAGCAAGCTGGTTAAGAATTCTAATCTACAGAAGCACAGAGAGCCATTTCTGCCCTCCTAGGGGCTGTAAATCACAGATCCTGACTGCTAGCAGTTATTAACAACCCCCGGACACTCCTCAGAAAGAGAGGCATGTTAACCCTGGCCTCCAGGCTAAACTCCTACATGGGTAATTACATTCCAGCACACTAATATTCCCCCTGCCGTACTATTCAGAGATATTCTCACCCCTCCTGGGCAGGGAAGCTACTGCAGAACACCTTCTGCATTCCCCTAAGAGGTGGATGAGCCATGCTATTTAAGTGCTTTGGGATCCTTCAGGATAACAATTAGAGGAGCATAAGTACTTAATCTCTGCCAATCTAATAAGAGGATGGAGAAATGCAGAACACAGATGGCTCAGGCAATATGGCAGTAGGAGTTTCTTGAGCAGCACACAAATTTGGGAAGACAGGGTCAAATGGATGCTCCTTGGTGTAAATGCAAATCACAGCACACAAAATACTTCAAGGAAAGAGAAGCAAATGAGAATATCTGTAGAGAGCAAGGTTAATATGCACCACTCTGAAGAAACAGCAAGGATCTTATCACCAGTAGCAAGGAGTCCCAGCCAGAAAGGCTCCCACTGTTCCCCACACTTCCTGGGAGGAGTCCACTAGGCCCCTCCCTGGGAACAGAGGAGGCTGGCAGAAGGCCCCACCTCTCCTCTGGGCTGTCCAGTGGCAGCAGAAAAGGTGCCTCAACAAAGAGGGAATATGGGGTGGGGGAGCAGGACTAAAGCACTCCTCTGCCTCCAATCACATGGGACCAGGACCCTACCCCTTCCAAAGAGTGGTCTATAACAGCTCCCAGTTCTGCCCAGGAGGGAGAGTGAGTTAAGGCCAGAAGAGTTCTCCCACCATCAGATTAAGGCAATTCAGTGTCCTAGATACACCACAACACAGGTCCCAGCATATCATGGGACTGCAGTCACTATGCCTTAATCCAGCCCTGAGCCCTGCGTACCCAGTTTCAGCGTCTCAAAAGCCCCACCGACATCACTACGTTACAGTGGGAAACTGTATCTGGTAAAAGGGACTTGAAATCGCAGAGGGATGCAGCTGGACTTTGGGATGGGTGAGAACAGGGGAAAAAAGGTAGAGGCAATATTTTTTTAAATGAAAGACATGAAAATATTTTTATAAGAAGTGTTTTAAAAATGGAGAGCAGAAAGGTTTAAAAATCAGTAAAGTTAAGCAAAGGAGGAAGTTAGTAACAGTGGAAATAGGCAGGGGATTAATTCACTACTAAATAAAGCGTTTAAAAATGGGGACCAGTGAAAGGTAGAGAAACTGAATCAGACTCCTTAAATTGTGTATTAGGCAACCTGTGTAACCACTTATCACTGTTTACCCTCATCCTCTCTATTTTTAAATCCACTTATGCCTTGTCTTAGAAATTAGACTGCAAGAGTGTTAGAATCTCAGCTTTGAGACAGGGATGGAAGTTCAATTTGCAAAAGCACTTAAGTGACATAGGAGCCTAAATTCTACAGTGAAAACCACTTATGTCCTTAGGCTCCTAATTTCCACAGGGCTTAGACTGAGCACCTACATGATTTTGTAAATGGAACTTGGGTGTTTTTGAAAAGTCTTACTCTGAGTTTGTACAGCACTCAGCACGATGGGACATTTTATTGATTAAGAGAATGAACAAGGCAGTATCCATGGCAGATTTCACTGAGCAGTTTTGATTAGGCAGCTATGGATGTTAAAAGAGCAGGACAGAAGATGAAATTAGGGCAGAGCTCATTTGCCAAAACAAACTAAATTTCCCTTATGCACCAAGGGGCTTGGAACTTGAAGGAACCCATGGGAAAAATATATGGGTCCTGATCCAAAGCCCACTGTCAGCAGGAGCTATGCATATGGAGGCAAGTCCTTTATCAGTGAAAACATACACTTACAATGCAGCAGCAATTAAAAACCAAAGAGCATAAAGTGATGCATGAAAAAGGGAGAAGAACTAAAACTGTTGTAACCACATTGCTGCAAACCAATTGTGCACCTTTATTTGAAGAACAGGCTTAAGCTTTAGTTCCATGAGTGTAGCAGAGACAGAATTAATCCAGAAGAGGGCAATGAAAGTAGTTAGATCAGGATAGATATAAGTTACAAATTGCCATAGGCCTGTTCAGAGTGGGAGAGAGTGGAAATGGGGCAGAGAAGTTCAGAATCATGAAGAGCTGTGGTGTTGTTGCCAGCTCTTGAGCCAAGTTGGTCAGCAGCACTTGGACGGAGTATTTAGAACAGGGGTGGCCAACCTGTGGCTCCAGAGCTGCATGCAGCTCTTCAGAGGTTAATATACAGCTCCTTACCTAGGCACTGATTCCGGGGCTGGAGTTATAGATGCTAACTTTCCAATGTGCTCACTACTCAACCCCTTGCTCTGCTCCAAGCCCTGCTCCCACTCCACCCCTTCCCCCAAGCCTTGCATGCCCATGCTCCTTCCCCCCCCCCCCCATAGCCTCCTGTGCAGGTGAAACAGCAGATTGTGGTGGGGAGGGGGGAGTAGGCGCTGATTGGTGGGGGCTGCCAGCAGGCGGGAGGCGCTGGGGAGTGGATGGGGGGCTGCTGACATATTACTTTTACTCTTTGGCAATGTACATTGGTAAATTCTGGCTCCTTCTCAGGGTCAGGTTGGCCACCCCTGATCTAGAAGCAGGCATGGATGCTGCAGGAAGCACTCTGCTCCGAGTCCAGATGGAACAAATGCCAACAGTGTGTGTGGTGAGGAACAACTGTCCTGTCCTCAGCAGGGTCATCTAGATAAGAGAGACAGCAGAGATCCTGATCACTTGTGAAATCTCCTGTTGCCATTTTCACCTAGTTGTTTTAGTAAAATTTCAATCCAGGCAGTTCCATTCTGCCTTCTCAAGAATCCACCTTGCAGCTCCAAGTCGATACAGTATGCTTTACTATGTACTCCTGCCATGTTCTAAGCCAGAGGTGGAAGGAACAATTCCTACATGTTTGGGTTAAGTTTGCAAGGCACTTTGGGATTCCTTGAGAAGAAAAGACACTATATAAATGCATTATATTTTTTAAATGGCCAGTCCTTCCCGTGATGCGGAGGGCAGTGTCACTGGCCACTGAGGCAAAAAACAGGGCTGAAATGATAATCTGATGAAGTGAGCTGTGGCTCACGAAAGCTCATGCTCAAATAAATTGGTTAGTCTCTAAGGTGCCACAAGTACTCCTTTTCTTTTTGCGAATACAGACTAACACGGCTGTTCCTCTGAAATCTTTCAACCCCCACCCCCATTCAACCTTGTATAAAGTTAATACAAATTGGCCAGGTACATAATGGAGCATAGGGAAAGTTTGGTTTCCTCTGAAAACATTCAGATCAAGCACTGGCCATTGCCAGAAACAGCATCCAAAACTAAATGAACCAATAGTCTAAACAGAGGCAGCAAAACTGATCTTTCTATGGTCACTGTCCAATTCAGCTGTTACTTTGCACCTACTCCAAACCTGAGCCAGACCATAGATGTTCTGGGCCAACAGCTTAATAAGAAAGAGGAACATTAACACATTTCAGTGTCTAGATACAAGGACAAAGGGAAGTACAAGTTACCCTAAGGTGTGAGCTAGACTGAGGAATAAACTCCGGAGAGAAGTGGTGGAAGCCCAGCTTCTTGAGTCACTTAAAAAGTAGATTTCAGAGTAAAAAGAAAAGGAGTACTTGTGGCACCTTAGAGACAAATACATTGGTTAGTCTCTAAGGTGCCACAAGTACTCCTTTTCTTTTTATAAAAAGTAGACTAATAATGTTCCATAGCAAACCATCCTGGCCTAGCCAGGGGGTTGGGGGTGTTGACCTTTCCCGAGATAGCCTTGTCCTCTAATGCCTTTTACGTTTTAGTGGAAGTGGCAGGTCACACCGCGCTACGAGCCCCTAATGCAGGCCGAGCTCCTGGCTTAGGAGAGGCAAAGCAGGGCACATTTCCACCTGATATCAACCATAAGCCAGAGCCCGAGTCCTACGATCATGGCTGCGCTGGCGACCTGCTGAAGTTCGCCGTGCCCGGCCCGCCGCTCCCCGCCTGCCGACCCCCGGCCCGCGGCACCAGCCCGTTCCAGGAGAAAGGCGCAGGGCGCTGCGGGCTCGGCCCACAGCCGCGCTCTGCGCTGGAGGGAAGGCAACCCGCCAGCCTGCCGGGAAGGGTGCGGGCCGCACACGGCTCCGGACAGGGCGCCGCCGCCGCAGCACCCCGCCACCTGAGGGCGGCTCCCGGCCCCGCCTGGGGAGGCGCAGTGGCACGGGACCAGGAAACGGGCTTTTCCCTCAGCTAGGTTCTGGACGTGCATCAGCCCGCCCCGAGCCGAGCCGCTCCAGGCACCGCACAGCCCCTCACCTTGGCCTCGAAGCAGATGCCGTGCTGGAAAGCGTCTTCATTGTGCAGCGGCACGCGCAGGTCGTGCCTGTCGTCGACCAGGTTGTAGCGAGACTTGCCGGGCATAGTGGCGGCGGTGGGGCCGGGAGCGCCCGGCTCCCTGTTCAGCGCGCCCGGCGCCGCGCTCCCTCCTCCCCCGGGCGGGGCGACCGCAGCCCCCGCCCGGCCCCAGCAGCCAGTGGCCGGCGGCGGAGGGCTGGGGCGGGGCGCATGCGCAGTACCAGCCCGGCCGGACGGGCACCTGGGCCGGAACGTGGGGAGGGGCCGTTGCAGGATCGGCCAGGAAGCCCCTTCCCCCACGGGACTGCGTCACTGGTGTTGCTGGGGTGGCGGTTGCCATGGCAATGGGCCCAGCGGGCAGTGGCGAGCCGCTTGTCCCGGCAAGGCTGCTACCGGCCCGTTCCGTTGCGGTCAGCCGGGGCCGGGCGCTGCGAGGCGCTGCCGGCTCCCCCGGGCCCTGGGGCCGGGGGGTGCATGGCGGGCCCCGCGCGGGGAGTGGAAAGCAGCCTAAGGCCCGCCCCAGCCGGCTCTCTGGCCCCGGAGCGGAGCGTTGGTGCGGGCGGCGGCAGCGATCGCCTCTCCCCAGCCCCGCGGGGCAGGAGCGCCCCCCAGCAGCCAGGGAATGCCCAGAATCCTCTCCGGACGGGGAGGGGGGCCCAGAGCAGGGAGTTAGGCTTAGCCCCCACTGCGATGCGTGGGGCTCCCAGTATCTCCCAGTGAATGAACCGGGACCAGTGACACTCTCAGCGCCTCTTAAGGCCAGAAACAGAGTCAGCCTTGGGGCAGCCACGCTGCCCCCCCAGCCTCGAAGCACCACATCACCCTCGGGAGGCATCAGATCAGAGTTGAGGAGTGGTTTAGTCCCGTCTTGCCTGTGCACCCTTTGGCCGTTCAGGGGTCACCCGAAACCTGAGCAACAAAACGCATAGGCTCAGCCATGGTTACACACTTACTTTCAATTAAAGCTGTGATTACATGACTCCAGGAGCTGGGGCTCTAGGCATGGACCAAGAGTACCTCTGCTTTCACCTGACCCTGTCATTCTTTTAACTACTCTGCCCTTCTGCTCTCTCTCACCTGGCACCTTTATACCACTTACACCCACTTGCTGAAAATGCTGCCTACAGTTTTGGCAACTCATGATTTTATGACAAGTTGAGGACCCTGTGATTATGAGAGAATCTCAGCTTTCATGTAAAAAATGTGACTTTCTAGCCCATGGGGTTACATAAGAAATTAGAAAATATGATCCAAGTGATTCCTACAGGGTCAGAAAACAGCAGGCAAATAAAAGGAACCCTACATCTGTTTTTTTAAAATCTCTTGATTTTTAAGCCAGTCTCATGATCCCAACTTGTGCTTTTGAACGCTTGATTCTGGCAGTATCATATGTCTGGACAGAGTCATCAACCTCTCCCTTTCAGCCACCCAAACTGTCTATTTCTCTTGAGAAAGCTTTTGACATTTCTGGCTAAACAGCACAAAAAAGAAGCTTACGAGAATTGGAAGATTGGACAAATGACCAGGGAAGAGTATAAAGATATTGCTCGGACATGCAGGAGTGAAATCAGGAAGGCCAAATCACACCTGAAGTTGCAGCTAGCAAGAGATGTTAAGAGTAACAAGAAGGGTTTCTTCAGGTATGTTAGCAACAAGAAGAAAGTCAAGGAAAGCGTGGGCCCCTTACTGAATGAGGGAGGCAACCTAGTGACAGAGGATGTGGAAAAAGCTAATGTACTCAATGCTTTTTTTGCCTCTGTCTTCACAAACAAGGTCAGCTCCCAGACTACTGCACTGGACAGCACAGCATGGGGAGGAGGTGATCAGCCCTCTGTGGAGAAAGAAGTGGTTCGGGACTATTTAGAAAAGCTGGACGAGCACAAGTCCATGGGGCCGGATGCGCTGCATCTGAGAGTGCTAAAGGAGTTGACGGATGTGATTGCAGAGCCATTGGCCATTATCTTTGAAAACTCATGGCGATCCAGGGAAGTCCCAGACAACTGGAAAAAGGCTAATGTAGTGCCCATCTTTTAAAAAGGGAAGAAGGGGGATCCTGGGAACTACAGGCCAGTCAGCCTCACCTCAGTCCCTGGAAAAATCATGGAGCAGGTCCTCAAGGAATCAATGCTGAAGCACTTAGAGGAGAGGAAAGTGATCAGGAACAGTCAGCATGGATTCACCAAGGGCAAGTCATGCCTGACTAATCTAATCGCCTTCTATGACGAGATAACTGGCTCTGTGGATGAGGGGAAAGCAGTGGATGTGTTGTTCCTTGACTTTAGCAAAGCTTTTGACATGGTCTCCCACAGTATTCTTGCCAGCAAGTTGAAGTATGGGCTGGATGAATGGACTATAAGGTGGATAGAAAGTTGACTAGATTGTCGGGCTCAACGGGTAGTGATCAATGGCTCCATGTCTAGTTGGCAGCTGGTATCAAGTGGAGTGCCCCAAGGGTCGGTCCTGGGGCCGGTTTTGTTCAATATCTTCATAAATGATCTGGAGGATGGTGTGGATTGCACCCTCGGCAAGTTTGCAGATGACACTAAAGTGGGATGAGAGGTAGATACGCTGGAGGGTAGGGATAGGATACAGAGGGACCTAGACAAATTGGAGGATTGGGCCAAAAGAAATCTGATGAGGTTCAACAAGGACAAGTGCAGAGTCCTGCACTTAGGACGGAAGAATCCCATGCTCCGCTACAGACTAGGGACCGAATGGCTCGGCAGCTGTTCTGCAGAAAAGGACCTAGGGGTTACAGTGGATGAGAAGCTGGATATGAGTCAACAGTGTGCTGTTGTTGCCAAGAAGGCCAATGGCATTTTGGGATGTATAAGTAGCGGCATTGCCAGCAGATCGAGGGACGTGATCGTTCCCCTCTATTCGACATTGGTGAGGCCTCATCTGGAGTACTGTGTGCAGTTTTGGGCCCCACAGTACAAGAAGGATGTGGAAAAATTGGAAAACATCCAGCGGAGGGCAACAAAAATGATTAGGGGACTGGAACACATGACTTATGAGGAGAGGCTGAGGGAACTGGGATTGTTTAGCCTGCAGAAGAGAAGAATGAGAGGGGATTTGATAGCTGCTTTCAACTACCTGAAAGGGGGTTCCAAAGAGGATGGATCTAGACTTTTCTCAGTGGTAGCAGATGACAGAACAAGGAGTAATGGTCTCAAGTTGCAGTGGGGGAGGTTTAGGTTGGATATTAGGAAAAACTTTTTCACTAGGAGGGTGGTGAAGCACTGGAATGTGTTAGCTAGGGAGGTGGTGGAATCTCCTTCCTTAGATATTTTTAAGGTCAGGCTTGACAAAGCCCTGGCTGGGATGATTTAGTTGGGGATTGGTCCTGCTTTGAGCAGGGGCTTGGACTAGATGACCTTCAGGGGTCCCTTCCAACCCTGAGATTCTATGATTCTGTAACAGGCAGCCACTGTACTGAATAACTCATTCTCCCAACCAGCTACAGAAGCACTGGCACATTGGTACCACACCCATTTATAGCCCAATGAGACTGACCTCTGTGAAGGGATAATATAACTACTTATAACTTGTATATTATTAAGATACATGAGATATGTATTGCAGTATCTCCCAGTGCATGGACAACTCCATTCACAACATGGTTTTACAGAAAATAGGTCTTGTCAAATGCACTTGGTATCATTTATGATAAAATTTCAAGTTTGGTTGATAAAGGTAACTGTTGACCAAATATATTTTGACTTCTGTAAGGCATTGACTGAGTACCATACAACATGTTTGTTAAAAAATAAACATTTTACAAACTTACGGTGGCACATGTTAGATGGAATGGAGAGTCATCATCCAATGGGGCATTTCTAATGAGGTCCCACAGGGATCTGTTCTTGGATGAATACTAGTCAATATATTTATCAATGATCTGGAAGAAAATATAAAATATTGCTGATAAAATTTGCAGATGACACATTGATTAGTGAACTAGTAAATAATGATAAAGACAGCTCAGCTATCCAGAGCAATTTGGATCACTTGGTAATGCATCCGATGAAGTGAGCTGTAGCTCACGAAAGCTTATGCTCAAATAAATTTGTTAGTCTCTAAGGTGCCACAAGTACTCCTTTTCTTTTTGCTAATACAGACTAACACGACTGCTACTCTGAAACTTGGTAAACTGTGTTCATTCAAACAACACATATTTTAATACAGCCAAATACAAGGTCAGGCATCGAGGAATCAAGAACGCTGGTCATGCTTACAGGTTGGAGGACTCAATCCTGGAAAGCAGTGAAAGGTTTCCACCATGAACCTTGACTGAAAAAGAGCTCCCAGCACTATGCTGTGTCTGAGAAAGCAAATGTGATCCTTTGGATGTATAAGCCAGGAGATAATAAGTAAAACTAGGGAGGTGGTGGTATTTATATGGCATTCATGAGACCATTACTGGAATATTGTGTCCAGTTCTAGTGTCAGCATTTAAAAAACATGTTACAAAATTAGAAAAGGTTCAGTAAAGAGCCACAAAAATAATTTGAGGTCTGGAAAAAAAACCTGTTACCTATCTCTCGTAACTGTTGTTTTTTTGAGATGTGTTGCTCATGTCCATTCCAAGTAGGTGGGTGCTTACTGCATGCACAGTCATCGGAAGGTTTTTCCCCTAGCGGTACCCATCGGGTCGGCTGTGGAGCCCCCTGGAGTCATGCCTTCATGGTGGTGTATATAGATCCCTCCCAACTCGCTGGGCTCTGAGTCTCCTGGAGGTTCCTTCACCCTGGAGGAAGACAGGGGGGCCCCCACCTATTCAAGGTAATAGGTAGAGATCTGGAGCTCGGCTTCTGGGCTTGGTGATATGCCCACAGGCCCAGAAGGGTCACTGCATTGGCACCTGCCATTGTGGTGGCCAGGGCATCATGGGGATTTGCTGCCTCTCCTCTTGCCTCGAATGGCGGTAAGAGTGGTGTCAGCTCTGCCTTGAGATGTATGACTCTGGTTCTGACCCCGAAGACAAGTCCGACCTTGGTGACTATGGTAGTGCCGAATGGGACGGTGCCGGAGAGCGGTGCCAAGGGGAGGGCGACCAGTACTGCATCATGGCTGGTTTGCCCTTAGAAAGCACGGCTCCTCTGCATGGTGCTGGTGCTGCCTATGCTGGTACTGCCTGTGCCAGGGACTACAGAGATATCATTGCTA